GCTGGCAGGAGGGCTCGGGCTGGAAGGGCATCACCCGGGCGCAGCTGTACACCCAGCCGCCGGGCGAGGGCCACCCGCCCCTCAAGGAGCTGATGCGCCAGGAAATCCAGGCCGCCAGCAAGGTGGGGGCAGGGCCTGGGGGGCCTGGAGTCCATTCCCCAGACCCAGACATCCTCCCTGCAGCTCCCAGCCCGGGAGCGCCATCCCCTGGGCCAGGGATTTGCACCCAGGCCCTCCGGGGACTGTCAGGTTCACACGTCTGGACCCAGGAGTCCACACCCCAGACCCCGTCCTCGGCCTCTTAGATATGATGGACCCCATCCTCAGCCCTTACACATCCATGCCCCTTGGGCCTAATTATGATCCCTCTTGTCTCAGTCATCGACCCTCCCCTCCCCCACCCTCAGGGAGGGCCCTGTTGTCTCCCCTGCGGCCCCCTGGCCGGCCCCTTTTTATTGAAAAGGTTTGGTGTTTGCCAGCTCCCGCGCCAAGTACCTTACCTGGGTTAACGTGTAATTCTCACAAGGGCCCTGTGAGGTTGGAACTCACTACGTCCATTTAGGAGATGGGGAAACAGGCATAGGATGTTAAGTCTCGCCTGGAGTGGCCAAGCAGAGACTTGAACCAGGAATCGGGGCTCAGGGCTCATCACCACACCTTCTGCCTGCAAGACCCAGGTCCCTGGCAGCCGCCCAGCCCCAGAGCTCCCCTTGCTGACCCAACAGATCAGCCCTCCCTCCGCCCCTGGCTCCAGGGCGCCCCCAGGACCCAGGCGTGCAGGTTCCCACAGTGCACTGCGCTGCACAGGCACCCAGCCCACGCCTGGAGCAGGGCCACCGTGTAGCGTCCCAGCTCGGGGATGCCGTTCACCACTGTTGACATGATGACAGTGGCCCAGCTAAGCCCGGGGGCTCCAGGGAGTTCTGCCCCTTATTCACGTGCAGGCCCTATGTGAACATCCCACAGAGCCGGGCCCTTAACCTCAGCCCTCCAGCATCTCACCGCCAGGGCCCCACCTTCCGAGGGTCCCCCAAGCCCCAGGCTCTATCCACAGCCCCTCTCCCCGCCCCCCAGCTGGTGGCCGTCGTCATGGACACATTCACCGACCCAGACCTGCTTTTGGACATGGTGGATGCTGCCACTCGCCGCTGGGTGCCCGTCTACCTGCTCCTGGACCGCCAGCAGCTGCCTGCCTTCCTGACCCTGGCCCAGCAGCTGGGGGTGAATCCCTGGGCCACTGAGGTAGGGCCTGGCGGAAGGGACCTGAGTCCCCATCCCCCTGGTGCGGGGGGCGGCGGAGGGAGACCCGTCCCTGGGGTGGGTCCTGGGCCAGCGAGGTGGGTGCCAGCGGAGAGGGTTCCCAGGGATCTGGTGCCCATGGCACTGGGGGAAGCAGGTGGGCCTTCCCACAGGGTCCCTCTGAGTTGGGGGAACCCCCAGGAGACCCCTGAATCCCACGATTGGTGGCCCTGGGGAAGCTGGGACAGACTCTCCACAAAGTGATGGGGGGCGGGCAGCCTGGAGGAGCCCCCAGGTGGAAGTCTGTGAGGTCCGCCTCAGCAAGGCTGTGTCCCCCCACCTCCCAGAACCTGGACATCCGCGTCGTGCGGGGCTGCAGTTTCCAGAGCCGCCGGCGACGGCAGGTGACGGGCGGGGTGCGGGAGAAGTTCGTGCTGCTGGACGGCGAGAGGGTCATCTCAGGGTCCTACAGGTACAGCCCTCACCCCGCGTCCCGTCCCCAGTCTCCGAGCACGCGGATCCCCGCCCAGCCTCTGGCTCCTCATCCGTGAAATGGGTCTGAACACCTGCCGGGAGAGGCGTTGTCATTGGGACCGGGCTTAGGGTTGGAGCCAGGCCTGGCCCCGCCCGGGTCCTGCTCCTGGCCTGGCTGGTGGCCTGGGTGAGTCTTCACCTCTCTGACCTGCTTCCTCTCTGGAGAATGGGGCCTGCAGTGTGTACGTAGGACTTTCAAAACCAGGAGGCCAGGCCTGGAGTCCCAGGTGGCCTGGGTGAGTAACGCCACCTCTCAGAGTGTCCGGGAAGGAATGAGACCTGGGGTGCCAATGGCTCGGTCCTCGGGCTGTCGGATGGCCGGCCTCTGCTCTCTTTGGGATCCGACCACCCCTGGGCCCTGGCTCTGCAACTTCTTAGCTCTGTGACCCTGGGCCTCCCCGACTCTGAGGAAAGCGTGGATATTGAGCAACCACCTCATTGGGCCACAGCATGGCCGGGGGGCGGCGGGGGGCGGGGATCTGGGCACAGACGGCCTTAGTTTAAGCCCTAGCTCTGCCAGTTACTGGCTGTGCGACGTTGGGCACCTGACTTCACCTCTGTGTGCCCCCTGCTCACCAGAATGACACGCTGAGTGACTTTAGGGGAGGGGTGGGGAACGTCCAGCTCTCGGGCCATAGAAGGCCCTCAAAATCATTTGGTTTGGCCCTGCCACAAGGCATTAGGGGAGAGTTAATTAAATGTTTGACCAAATATAGCAGGCTGATTTTTGTTGTTGTTTCTGTTTTAAATTCAGAGAGGAAGGGAGAGGGAGAGAGAGATAGAAACATCAATGATGAAAGAGAATCATTGATCGGCTGCCTCCTGCACGCCCCACACTGGGGATCGAGCCCACAACCCGGGCATGTGCCCTGACCGGGAATCGAACCGTGATCCCCTGGTTCATAGGTCGATGCTCAACCACAGGGCCTCGGCGGCCAGGCTAGCAGGCTGATTCTTAAAAAAAAAAAAAGTAATTAAATGTTTGACCAAATATAGCAGGCTGATTTTTGTTGTTGTTTCTGTTTTAAATTCAGAGAGGAAGGGAGAGGGAGAGAGAGAGATCAAAACATCAGTGATGAGAGAGAATCACTGATCTTGATCGGCTGCTTCCTGCACACCAAAGCATCAAATCATTGATTGAGCCCACAACCCAGACCTGTGCCCTGACCGGGAATCGAACCGTGACCTCCTGGTCGACGCGGAACCATTGAGCCACACAGGACGGGACGGGCTGATTTTTACGTTGAGAATTTTGTGTGGCCCGAGAATGATGTTATAAATATCCAAATGGCCCTGGGCAGAAAAAAGGTCTCCCACCCCTGCTTTAGAGAGTGAGGTTTCATGGTGAAGGTACTGCCCACGTCTGGGGCCGGAGGGCTGTGTCCCGGAGCTCTCCTGGGCATTGCCGCCTGCATCCCCGGCCTCCATCCAATAGATGTCGGTAGCATCCCCTGTTAGGAACCATTGCCAAAGACCCAGGTGTGTAGCCTTGAACATGACTCAGGCTGACCCAGAGGACTCCTTACAACCCAGATTTCTGGGCCCCACCCCCATCCAGCCGGCCTGGGCTGGGGCCCGAGGATTGGCCTTGCTGGCAAGTTCCGGTTGGTCACGGACCACACCTAGAGAACCACCTGGGCCGGGACTGAAACGTTCCAGAGGGAATCTGCCTTCCCAGCTTCAGGCGCGATTCAGTGGGAGAATGGTCCCTGGCGCGGAACGTAACAAGTGCTTCCTACACATCAGCTGTTGTTTATTAATATTATTTTGACCGGATTGCATGGACTCTAAGGGACCACAATGAAAGGGAGCATCCTGATCAAATTGGGGAAAGATATGGCGTCTTAGAATCAATGGAATGCAATATTACAGCCAAACCCAGGGGCGCGGTCCCACCGCCAAGTCAGGCTGTGGCCTGGCGGAGCTCTGGGTC